GATATTAACGGCGCTTTGAGGATCTGATACAAACCAGGGTTTACCTGTGCTCAGGTGAGGAGGCGGGGACACATCTCAGTGTGTCAGTAGAGGGATCATGAGTGTTTAAAGGCTGCTTGTTGGTCAGGTGTTTGTGTTGGGGTGGACTGGTGGGAAGTGTGTATGTCAGAGGGAAGTGTGGTGGAACAGAGCGGTAGTTTTAGACAGTGTGTAGTGTCCAGACTCCAGACCAGAGTCCAGACTGAGTACAGTAGTGTTTGAATAGTGTGATCAGGTCTTAGTGTAAAGGCAGTCTGTAGAGTCAAGGTAGTGTATAAACTGGTTATAGCAGTGAGCAGCTGCTAGTGTAGGGTCAGGATAGTGTGAATAGCCACTATAAACTGGTTATAGCAGTGGGCAGCTGCTAGTGTAGGGTCAGGATAGTGTGAATAGCCACTATAAACTGGTTATAGCAGTGGGCAGCTGCTTGTGTAGGGTCAGGATAGTGTGAATAGCCACTATAAACTGGTTATAGCAGTGGGCAGCTGCTAGTGTAGGATCAGGATAGTGTGAATAGCCACTATAAACTGGTTATAGCAGTGGGCAGCTGCTAGTGTAGGGTCAGGATAGTGTGATTAGCTGTTAGCACTGTCTTAATAGCGTGATTAGCTGTTACCAGTAGGCTCAGGATGCAGGTGTCTATTGTGTGTACGGAACACAACCTGAAGGGTCGCAGTGGTGATGATCGCCCCAACCGCCCCAGCATAGTGGGGGCGGGGCATAGCAAGCCACGCCCGCACTGCCCACGGCCATGCACGCAGGGCCACGCCCACATGAATGAAGCTACTGGACGCAACACCAGCATGAAGTACAGGTGAGAAGGGCGGAGCCATTACATACACACACACACACACACACACACAGATGAGCACGTGCTAACCAAGTTGATGTCAGTGATCCTCTCCGATCCTGAGCTGTGATAGATCAGTGTGTGATGAAAGCGACCCTGAGGACCCTCAATCTAATCGAACAGATTACGCCACACTGACCTTTGACCCTGTCACAGTGTTTACAGTGGAGGAGCATTTACACCAATCAGACCAGCTGACCACACACACACATTCTGAGACTGCAGTCTGTCTCTCAGTTTAAACTTAGTCTGGATAACCGACTCTAAATGTAGGTATTGTGATATAAACTAAGTCTGTTCTACAGTTTCTCATTAGGCTGAATGAATAACCGACTCTAAATGTAGGTATTGTGATATAAACTGAGTCTGTTCTACAGTTTCTCATTAGGCTGAATGAATAACTGACTCTAAATGTAGGTATTGTGATATAAACTCAGTCTGTTGTACAGTTTCTCATTAGGCTGAATGAATAACTGACTCTAAATGTAGGTATTGTGATATAAACTGAGTCTGTTCTACAGTTTCTCATTAGGCTGAATGAATAACTGACTCTAAATGTAGGTATTGTGATATAAACCGAGTCTGTTCTACAGTTTCTCATTAGGCTGAATGAATAACCGACTCTAAATGTAGGTATTGTGATATAAACCGAGTCTGTTCTACAGTTTCTCATTAGGCTGAATGAATAACTGACTCTAAATGTAGGTATTGTGATATAAACTGAGTCTGTTCTACAGTTTTCTCATTAGGCTGAATGAATAACTGACTCTAAATGTAGGTATTGTGATATAAACCGAGTCTGTTCTACAGTTTCTCATTAGGCTGAATGAATAACTGACTTTAAAGTTTCTCATTAGGTTCTCATCTCCGAGTGTGCTCCTCTGTGTGACAAGGGAATGTGTGGTGTGTGTGGTATGTGTGGTGTGTGTGGTATATGTGTGGTGTGTGTGGTATATGTGGTGAGTGTGTGGTATGTGTGGTGTGTGTGTATGGTGTGTGGTGTGTGTGGTATGTGTGGTGTGTATGGTGTGTGTGGTATGTGTGGTGTGTATGGTGTGTGTGATGTGTGTGTGGTGTGTGTGATGTGTATGGTGTGTGTGTGTGTGTGTGGTATGTGTGGTGTGTGTGATGTGTGTGGTGTGTGTGATGTGTGTGTGGTGTGTATGGTGTGTGTGTGGTGTGTATGGTGTGTGTGATGTGTGGTGTGTGTGTGGTGTATATGGTGTGTGTGATGTGTGTGATGTGTTGTGTGTGGTGTGTGTGATGTGTGTGTGTGGTGTGTGTGGTATGTGTGGTGTGTGTGTGGTGTGTGTGGTATGTGTGGTGTGTGTGTGGTGTGTGTATGGTGTGTGTGGTATGTGTGGTGTGTGTGGTCTGTGTGGTGTGTGTGGTGTGTGTGGTATGTGTGGTCTGTGTGGTGTGTATGGTGTGCGTGGTATGTGTGGTGGGTGTGTGGTGTGTGTGGTATGTGTATTGTGTGTGGTATGTGTGGTGTGTGTGGTGTTGTGTGTGGTGTGTATGGTGTGTGTGGTATGTGTGGTGTGTGTGGTATGTGTGGTGTGTATGGTGTGCGTGGTATGTGTGATGTGTGTGTGGTGTGTGTGGTATGTGTGGTGTGTGGTCTGTGTGGTATGTATGGTGTGTGTGGTATGTGTGGTGTGTGGGGTCTGTGTGGTGTGTATGGTGTGTGTGGTATGTGTGGTGTGTGGTCTGTATGGTGTGTGTGGTATGTGGTGTGTGTGGTCTGTGTGGTGTGTATGGTGTGCGTGGTATGTGTGGTGTGTGTGTGGTGTGTGTGGTATGTGTGGTGTGTGGTGTGTATGGTGTGTGTGGTATGTGTGGTGTGTGTATGGTGTGTGTGGTGTGTGGTTTGTGTGGTGTGTGGTGTGTATGGTGTGTGTGGTATGTGTGGTCTGTGTGGTGTGTGGTGTGTGGTGTGTATGGTATGTGTGGTGTGTGTGGTGTGTGGTGTGTGGTGTGTATGGTATGTGTGGTGTGTGTGGTCTGTGTGGTGTGTATGGTGTGTGTGGTCTGTGTGGTGTGTGTCGTGTGTGTGTGGTGTGTGGTGTGTATGGTGTGTGTGGTATGTGTGGTCTGTGTGGTGTGTGGTGTGTATGGTGTGTGTGGTGTGTGGTGTGTATGGTATGTGTGGTGTGTGGTGTGTGTGGTGTGTGGTGTGTATGGTATGTGTGGTGTGTGGTGTGTGTGGTGTGTATGGTATGTGTGGTGTGTGTGGTGTGTGTCGTGTGTGTGTGGTGTGTGGTGTGTGTGGTCTGTGTGGTGTGTGGTGTGTGTGGTGTGTGTGGTGTGTGGTGTGTATGGTGTGTGTGGTATGTGTGGTCTGTGTGGTGTGTATGGTGTGTGTGGTGTGTGGTGTGTGTGGTCTGTGTGGTGTGTGGTGTGTGTGGTGTGTGTGGTGTGTATGGTATGTGTGGTGTGTGTGGTGTGTATGGTGTGTGGTGTGTGGTCTGTGTGGTGTGTGGTCTGTGTGGTGTGTGGTGTGTGTGGTGTGTATGGTGTGTGTGGTGTGTGTGGTGTGTGGTGTGTGTGGTGTGTGGTGTGTGTGGTCTGTGTGGTGTGTATGGTGTGTGTGGTGTGTGGTGTGTGTGGTGTGTGTCGTGTGTGTGTGGTGTGTGTGGTGTGTGGTGTGTGTGGTGTATGGTGTGTGTGGTGTGTGTGGTGTGTATGGTGTGTGGTGTGTGTGGTGTGTGTGGTGTGTATGGTGTGTATGGTGTGTGTTGTGTGTGGTGTGTGTGGTGTGTGTGTGTGGTATGTGTGGTGTGGTGTGTGTGGTGTGTGGTGTGTGTGTGGTGTGGTGTGTGTGTGGTGTGTGTGTGTGGTATGTGTGGTGTGGTGTGTGTGGTGTGTGGTGTGTGTGTGGTGTGTGTGTGGTGTGTGGTGTGTGTGGTGTGGTGTGTGTGGTGTGTGTGGTCTGTACTGTATCTCCTCTACGTAACTGAGTTTGACAGCGGTTGAGGAGCTCATGGGTCAGTAAACCCCTGTATCTCCTGTATCTCAGGCCCTCAGACTGTCAGTGATGGAGATGGTAATTATCAGTGTTTAGAGTGTCTCAGTTCAGAGTCTGACCATAACAATCACCACACAATGTACACACAGTTCATTTTAAATGGCCTCACAGCATCGCTCTACTTTGCTTTACATACAGTCATGCACAAAAGTTTAGGCACCCCTGGTCTAATTGTATGTTGTTGTTTATTTTGTGTAAATAAGTGACCACATTTTAATGCGCATAATTAGGTAACACTGTGTTTGGATGGTCCACTTTAGATGGTTTGTTGATACTTAATTTACTTTCAGGTTACATTCAACTAAATATCTACCAAACTGACCACAATTGTCTTTAACTCTAAACTTGCTCTAATCCTAACCCTAACCTTAACCTCAACCCAAAACCTAAACCCAACCCTCACCCTGGTTCTAGCCCTAACCCTAACCCCACCACTGTTAGAGTCAACAGAGAGTTTATCAACAGTTTCAACATCTGTAGATGATCTGTAGTCGACCATCCAGATCAAGTGAGACCTAAACATAACAGAAAAATGCCGTTCTTAAGTGTGACGTCTGTAGAGGAGGTGTCAACTTAGAAATTCGAACTTGTCATTTGACTTTTTCATACGACTGTATTTGAAAACTCCAGTTACTCTTTATATGGTGTGAAAGTTTTATGATTGTTGGAAGAACATAAATCCACAATAACTCAGTATTAAATTTCATTATATTAACTTACATTAAATGTAGATTATTTTTCCCTTCTCCTGTAAAGTTACCATCTCAGATCAGATTAGTTCCAACAGCGAAGATTTGTTAATAAAACAGATTTTTCAGGTTACCGTGGTTACCATGCATTGGTTATTCCAGCAGGTTATTGGTGTAATAGTGGGCGGTTACCATGGGGAGGTAATTTAAGGTCTTTCCCACAGGTTGATTGATCCAGTGGTCCAGCCCTGACTGCTGTGTTACCCCACTGATCATTGACTGGATACTTTATTTGTCTTCATTATTAATGTGCTAAGCTTTGTGTTTGCTCTGTCACTGTATTGATCAGCAGCTGATCGATTACTGATGCAGGACTGTGGTTGTTGTTCTGCAGGAATCTGGGGAAGTGTGGCTTAAGAGTGTCTTGTTTGGGACTGGGTGAGTTTCTCAAACACACACACCATGTTGGTCTCAGACTTCTGTATTACTGTAGCTGATAATGCTACATTTACAGCTAAGGATAACTTTAATCTCTGTAATTAAAATCTAAATCTAACTCTACTCTTAGGCCCAGTCCCATTTCTTCTTTTTACCCCTACCCCTTGTTTTCGAGTGTTGCTCCTTGGAACTGAGTTACAGGGTAGTGGTTGAAATCTTCCCTCTGAAATGAGACCCTCAAATAAAAAGAGCATCACTTCATTAACAGCTACCAGCGCTGCTCTGTAGGAGACCCTGCCAGTCTGCAGTGACAGCAGAGGAGGGTAAAGTTCAGCTCCTCACTGCTGGGCTTTAGTTACATTTAGGGCATCATATGACTTCAAAGAGGGGGCAATTATTTATTATCACCCACCCCTAATTCTTCAGTGATATGAAGCTGAAGTCAGATATTCACCAGATTCTTGTTTGAATTTTCCCGTTCCACCTTAAATAGAAGCTCGCCCCAACACTTCACCCCACCCCTCTATCTCAACAAGAATCGGGACCCCCTACCCCTAGACGAAAAGGGATGGGTAGGGCTGAGTGGTAGGGGCGAGGGGTGAAATGGGACTGGGCTTTAACCTCAGTAATCTAAATCTGAACTTAATCTTGCCCTCAGTAAGCTAAACTTAAACTTAGATATAATCTTAACCTCAGGAACCAAAACTTTACCTTTCTACTCCTTTAGTTTTTTTTAAAAAAAGTTGTTTTGTCATGAAAACATCACGTTTTCTTGTGAGGACCACCAAAATGTCCTCATTGGACAAACTGGCGTGGTGTCCTATCTGTGTGATCTGTATGCTAATATGAGTTTGTATGTGTTTCAGGTACCTGGGTAACGTTTGGGTCTCAGGTTTCTGACGAGGTCAGTTCTGTTTTCCTCTCTCTCACAATGTCCAGTTAATTTTGTCTCGGGTTCTAAACTTTAGAAGAGTTTTGCTGTATGGATTCCTGTGTGTGTTTCAGGTGGCAGAGAGTGTGTTGACTGTAGCGTATGAGAACGGTGTGAACCTGTTCGACACAGCGGAGATCTACGCCTCAGGAAGGTCAGTTTCTTTTTCCCTCAGAGTGAAGAAAAGTATGACAGTGAACACTTAAACATTAACCAGCATGAGCCAACGCGATGACTGCTTACGAGTTTAGCGTTCCAGCCTTGTGGGTCTGGAAGGTCGCCGGTTTGATCCCCTGAGCCAACAGTACGTGACTTAAGTGCCCTTGAGCAAGGTACCTAATCCCCAACTGCTCCCCAGGCGCTGTGGATAGGGCTGCCCACCGCTCCGGGCAAGTGTGCTCACTGCCCCCTAGTGTGTGTGTTCACTAGTGTGTATGTGGTGTTTCACTGCACAGATGGGTTAAAATGCGGAGGTGAAATTTCCTCATTGTGGGACTAATAAGGGTCTCTTAAACTTAACTTAATAGTCTTATCTTTACAAAGTAAAGGAGTCCCCTCATAGTCTTATCTTTACAATGTAAAAGAGCCCCCTTATAGTCTTATCTTTACAACGTAAAGGAGTCTCCTCATAGTCTTGTTTACAATGTAAAGAAGTCCCCTCATAGTCTTATCTTTACAATGTAAAAGAGCCCCCTTATAGTCTTATCTTTACAACGTCTCCTCATAGTCTTGTTTACAAAGTAAAGGAGTCCCCTCATACCCTTCCATTTACAATGTAAAGGAGCCCCTCATAGTCTTGTTTACAATGTAAAGGAGTCCCCTCATAGTCAAGTCCCCTCATAGTCATGTTTACAATGTAAAGGAGTCCCCTCATAGTCTTATATTTACAATGTAAAGGAGCCCCTCATAGTCTTGTGTTTACAGTGTAAAGGAGCCCCTCATAGTCTTGTGTTTACAGTGTAAAGGAGTCCCCTCATAGTCTTGTGTTTACAGTGTAAAGGAGCCCCTCATAGTCTTGTGTTTACAGTGTAAAGGAGTCCCCTCATAGTCTTATCTTTACAATGTAAAGGAGCCCCTCATAGTCTTATCTTTACAATGTAAAGGAGCCCCTCATAGTCTTATCTTTACAATGTAAAGGAGCCCCTCATAGTCTTATCTTTACAATGTAAAGGAGTCCCCTCATAGTCTTATCTTTACAATGTAAAGGAGCCCCTCATAGTCTTATCTTTACAATGTAAAGGAGCCCCTCATAGTCTTATCTTTACAATGTAAAGGAGTCCCCTCATAGTCTTATCTTTACAATGTAAAGGAGCCCCTCATAGTCTTATCTTTACAATGTAAAGGAGTCCCCTCATAGTCTTGTGTTTACAGTGTAAAGGAGCCCCTCATAGTCTTGTGTTTACAGTGTAAAGGAGTCCCCTCATAGTCTTATCTTTACAATGTAAAGGAGTCCCCTCATAGTCTTATCTTTACAATGTAAAGGAGCCCCTCATAGTCTTATCTTTACAATGTAAAGGAGTCCCCTCATAGTCTTATCTTTACAATGTAAAGGAGCCCCTCATAGTCTTATCTTTACAATGTAAAGGAGGCCCCTTGTAACTCATGACCTCCCATTACCAGTGAAGGAGCTTTCCGTTTACACCGTATAGATCCAGACATTGACAGACAGACAGTAGGTTCCTCTGTCAGTCCTGTCTGAGTGCTGTCCGAGGGAGTTAGTGGGAAGGTGGACATAACTTCCCGTTATAAAGTTATGGACCTTCTGTGCTGATAAAGTCTGGCTGCTGTCCAGCATGAAGGTCCCTTCAGAGTCATACTCGGGTTTACGTGTGGAAATGGCTGATGTAAATGTGGACACTTTGAGATTAGATTTAAAACCATGGATTATTTTTCCTTTTTTCATTCCTCTCTGCAGTCGTTTGTTTGATGTTCTATCGTTTCTCGCTTCCTCTGCAGGGCAGAGACCGTCCTGGGCAGCATTGTAAAGAAGAAAGGGTGGAGGTGTGTGCTCATGGATTTATGTTCCGTATGTTTTATGTGTCTGTGTGTTTACGGTCTGTGTGACGGGTTTGTTTTTGTGTCTCTTCAGACGCTCCAGCTTTGTAATCACCACCAAGATCTACTGGGGTGGACAGTGAGTGGGACACTGCCTGCGTTCGTACACTTACAGATATATATGTATGTCAGTGTATAAATACACTGTCCGTGATTGTGGTGTTTTGTGCTGCAGGGCAGAAACAGAGAGAGGTTTGTCCAGGAAGCATATTATTGAAGGTATGACATCACTGTCCTCCTGATCTGACCTTTGACCTTGTAGACATCCTACACAGAAACCTTCCGTGGTGTCTCTGAGTTAAATGTGGATCCTAAAGTTGAATGTTTGACGAGTATTTGTAAGAAATGTGAGCATGTACTGTTCATTATTTAGCAGACCCAGATCCCTAGTTTAACATTTTCCACATAAATAATTAATTAACAATAAAATGTATAACTTTGTAGCATTGAAGTTGTTTTTAAAAAACAAAAATAAATAATAGAAATACTAATAATACTAATAATAACTAGAAGGAGGAAAATTGAGAACAAACTCTTTGTTGGCTTGACAAAGCTGTTGCTATGAAATCCCAGGTGGTTGCTACGATGTTATTATGTTATAGCAGGTGGTTGCTAGCAGGCATGTTTCTAGGCCACTAATATAATATCCCAGGTGGTTGCTAAGGGTTTGCTGGGCCATTACTGTGATATCCCAGGTGGTTGCTAAGGTGTTGCTGGGCCATTACTGTGATATCTCAGGTGGTTGCTAAGGTGTCACTGGGCCATTACTGTGATATCCCAGGTGGTTGCTAAGGTGTTGCTGGGCCATTACTGTGATATCTCAGGTGGTTGCTAAGGTGTTGCTGGGCCATTACTGTGATATCTCAGGTGGTTGCTAAGGTGTTGCTGGACCATTACTGTGATATCTCAGGTGGTTGCTAAGGTGTTGCTGGGCCATTACTGTGATATCTCAGGTGGTTGCTAAGGTGTTGCTGGGCCATTACTGTGATATCTCAGGTGGTTGCTAAGGTGTTGCTGGACCATTACTGTGATATCCCAGGTGGTTGCTAAGGTGTTGCTGGGCCATTACTATGATATCCCAGGTGGTTGTTAATGTATATATATATATATATATATATATATGGTAATATGTGAATCTGTATGTAATGTCTACGAGGGTCAGTGTGAGTGATGTCCTTTGTGACATCATTTGTGGCAGTTACACTTGAAGTTTCTCAACACTGCCATAATTTTTCTTTGGGGACAAAAATCGTGGTAAACTAATGCTGTACGAAAACCCTACATGACTGTAAGGTTTAGTGGTGCATGACCCATAAAAACATATAGAATAATAAAACAAAGAACAGTCAGACTTTTCAAACCAAGCAACAGTAATAACGTTTATCCGTTCAGTTATTATGGTAAAACATGTCTTCAGTTTTTCTTATTCATAAAGAATATTCAAAAATTCAAGATTATATTAAAAACAATATTAAAAAATGAAAGTATTTGACTGTTGCAGCTCTCGTCTTATCAGCAGGGCAGCACTTCTGTAAGACGCTGTTTTAGGTTACTGAAAGCTTCTCCTGCTGACCGACTGTCCTGTCTCCCTGTCCTCAGGTCTCCGTGGGTCTCTGTCCAGGTTACAGATGGACTATGTGGACATTGTCTTTGCAAACCGCACAGACATCAACACCCCCATGGAGGGTCAGTGTGAGCGAGTGGTGTTTCTGATAGAAACTCTCTTCACTGAGCTCAGCTGGTTCACGTGTGTGTGTGTGTGTGTGTGTGTGTGTGTGTAGAGGTGGTGAGGGCCATGACCTTCGTGATCAATCAGGGCCTGGCCATGTACTGGGGAACCTCACGCTGGAGCGCCATGGAGATCATGGTGAGAACATTCACTCATTCACATCTTCAGGATTGACTCACATTGTTATGATTAACTCACAGCGTTAGGATTCACTCACTCACAGTGTTGGGATTCACTCATTCAGTGTTAGGACTCACTCATTCACAGCGTTAGGATTCACTCATTCAGTGTTAGGATTCACTCATTCACAGCGTTAGGATTCACTCATTCAGTGTTAGGATTCACTCATTCAGTGTTAGGATTCACTCATTCACAGCGTTAAGATTCACTCATTCACAGCGTTAAGATTCACTCACTCACAGTGTTAGGATTCACTCATTCAGTGTTAGGACTCAGTCATTGACAGCATTAGGATTCACTCATTCAGTGTTAGGACTCACTCATTCACAGCGTTAGGATTCACTCATTCACAGCGTTAGGATTCACTCATTCACAACGTTAAGACTCACTCACTCACAGTGTTAGGATTGACTCATTCACAGCGTTAGGATTCACTCATTCAGTGTTAGGATTCACTCATTCACAGCGTTAGGATTCACTCATTCAGTGTTAGGATTCACTCATTCACAGCGTTAGGATTCACTCATTCAGTGTTAGGATTCACTCATTCAGTGTTAGGATTCACTCATTCACAGCGTTAAGATTCACTCATTCACAGCGTTAAGATTCACTCACTCACAGTGTTAGGATTCACTCATTCACAGCGTTAGGATTCACTCATTCAGTGTTAGGACTCAGTCATTGACAGCATTAGGATTCACTCATTCAGTGTTAGGACTCACTCATTCACAGCGTTAGGATTCACTCATTCACAGCGTTAGGATTCACTCATTCACAGCGTTAAGACTCACTCACTCACAGTGTTAGGATTGACTCATTCACAGCGTTAGGATTCACTCATTCAGTGTTAGGATTCACTTATTCACAGCGTTAGGATTCACTTATTCACAGCGTTAGGATTCACTCACTCACAATGTTAGGATTCACTCATTCACAGCGTTAGGATTCACTTACAATGTTAGGATTCACTCATTCAGTGTCAGGACTC